CCCCAATGGCCCCGATGAGGACTACTACACCAAGGAGCTGCTGCGCTTCCCCATGGAGAGCCCCGGGGAAGGTGAGGGACACGGGGACACCGTGGGGACATGGGGACATGGGGACGGGGAGGGACATGGGGACACGGGGAGGGACATGGGGACATGGGGACATGGGGACATGGGGACATGGAGGGACATGGGGACATGGGGACATGGAGGGACATGGAGATACATGGGGACATGGGGGACATGGAGGGACATGGGGGGACATGGGGGGACATGGAGGGACATGGGGACATGTCGGGATGAGGGATGTGGGGACACGGGGCCATGGGGACATGGGGGGACACGGGGCCATGGTGTCCATGGCGCCGTGGTGGCGTGTGACAGGCTGGTGTCCCTGTCCCTGTCCCTGTCCCGCAGGAGGTTCTACAAGGACATGCCCCAGAACGCGCTGGACAAGAAATCCAACTTCGAGTTCCTGGAGTGAGTGCAGCCCCGGGCACCTCCCGGTCCTGGGGGCTGGGGGCCTTCCTCATCATCTTCATCTTCATCACCGTCCTCATCCTCCTCATCTTCCTCATCTCCTCATCTCCTCATCCTCCTCATCTCCTCATCCTCCCCATCCCTGAAGATGAAGATGGGAGCCATCCTTTCTCCGGAATTCCCCCTCACCCCCGTCCTGCCTGGGGCGGGAATTCCCGCTGACATTCCCGGGATTCTCTGCTCCTCCGCAGGAAGGAGGTGGGGCTGGACCTCTTCTTCCCCAGCCAGATGCAGGAGAACCTGAAGGTGAGGGACACCAGGTGTGGCACAGGCGTGGCACCTGGGGACACGTGTCACCACGTCCCTGCGTGTGTCCGTGTGTCCATGTGTGTCCCTGTGTGTGTTCCTGTGTCCCTTTGTCCATGTGTGTCCCTGTGTCCGTGGTCTGTGTGTCCGTATGTGTCCATGTGTCTGTATCCCTGTGTGTCCCTGTGTGTCCCTGTGTGTCTGTGTCCTTGTGTCCCTGTGTGTCCATGTGTCCATGTGTGTGTCCCTCTGTGTCTGCGTGTCCATGTGTGTCCATGTGTGTCCCTGTGTGTCTGTGTGTCCGTATGTGTCCATGTGTCCATGTGTCTGTGTCCCTGTGTGTCCCTTTGTGTCCCTGTGTGTCCCTTTGTGTCCCTGTGTCTGTGTTTGTCCCTCTGTGTCTGTGTGTCCCTGTGTGTGTCCCTCTGTGTCCGTCTGTCCCTACCCCGATCCCGGTGTTCCCATACCTGATGCCACTCCAATTCTGGTGTTCCCGTACCTGATGCTTCCCCGATCCCGGCATTCCCGTACCCCACGCCACCCTGATCCCGGCATTCCCGTACCCCATGTGGCCCTGATCCCGGTGTTCCCATACCCCACGCCACCCTGATCCCATCATTCCCGTACCCCACACGGCCCCAATCCCGTGTTCCTGTACCCCACGCCGCCCCGATCCCGGCATTCCCGTACCCCACGCCACCCCGATCCCGGCGTTCCCGTACCCGATGCCGCCCCGATCCTGGCATTCCCGTACCCCACGCCACCCCGATCCCGGCGTTCCCGTACCCGATGCCGCCCCGATCCTGGCATTCCCGTACCCCACGCCACCCCGATCCCGGCGTTCCCGTACCCGATGCCGCCCCGATCCTGGCATTCCCGTACCCCACGCCACCCCGATCCCGGCGTTCCCGTACCCGATGCCGCCCCGATCCTGGCATTCCCGTACCCCACGCCACCCCGATCCCGGCGTTCCCGTACCCGATGCCGCCCCGATCCTGGCATTCCCGTACCCCACGCCACCCCGATCCCGGCGTTCCCGTACCCGATGCCGCCCCGATCCTGGCATTCCCGTACCCCACGCCACCCCGATCCCGGCGTTCCCGTACCCGATGCCGCCCCGATCCTGGCATTCCCGTACCCCACGCCACCCCGATCCCGGCGTTCCCGTACCCGATGCCGCCCCGATCCTGGCATTCCCGTACCCCACGCCACCCCGATCCCGGCGTTCCCGTACCCGATGCCGCCCCGATCCTGGCATTCCCGTACCCCACGCCACCCCGATCCCGGCGTTCCCGTACCCGATGCCGCCCCGATCCTGGCATTCCCGTACCCCACGCCACCCCGATCCCGGCGTTCCCGTACCCGATGCCGCCCCGATCCTGGCATTCCCGTACCCCACGCCACCCCGATCCCGGCGTTCCCGTACCCGATGCCGCCCCGATCCTGGCATTCCCGTACCCCACGCCACCCCGATCCCGGCATTCCTGTACCCCATGCTGCCCCGATCCCGTGTTCCCATACCCATCCCACCCCAATCCCGGCGTTCCCGTACCCGATGCCACCCCGATCCCGGCATTCCTGTACCCCATGCCGCCCCGATCCCATGTTCCCGTACCCATCCCACCCCGATCCCGGCGTTCCCGTACCCGATGCCACCCCGATCCCGTGTTCCCGTACCCGATGCCGCCCCAATCCTGGCATTCCCGTACCCGCTGCGGCCCTGATCCCGGCATTCCCGTGGCCGACGCGGCGGTGTCCCGGCGTTGTCCCGGCAGCCGCGGCAGCTGCGGAAGATGATCCAGCAGACGTTCCAGCAGTACGCGCTGCTGCGGGAGGAGGAGTGCATCCTGAAATTCCTGCACACGCTGGCCTCCTTCGCCCCCATCGACCAGGAGAGCTTCCGCTGCCAGCTCGCTGTGCGTGAGCGGGACGCGGGACACGGGATACGGGATACGGGACACGGGATACGGGATAGGGGCACGGGATACGGGATACGGGATACGGGATACGGGATAGGGGCACGGGATACGGGATTCGGGATGGGGGCACGGGATACGGGATTCGGGAATGGGGGATACGGGATTTGGGATGGGGGATGTGGGATACGGGATATGGGATATGGGATTCAGGATGGGGATTTGGGATTCGGGATAGGGGCACGGGATACGGGATTCGGGAATGCGGGATATGGGATATGGGATATGGGATTTAGGATTCGGGATAGGGGTACGGGATACGGGATTCGGGAATGCGGGATATGGGATTTGGGATGGGAGATATGGGATACGGGATACAGGAATGTGGGATACGAGATTCGGGAATGCGGGATATGGGATGTGGGATGTGGGATAGGGGATAGGGGGTACGGGATATGGGATTCGGGAATGGGGGATACAGGATTTGGGATGGGGGATGTGGGATACGGGATATGGGATATGGGATTCGGGATGGGGATACTGGATTTGGGATGGGGGATGTGGGATACGGGATATGGGATATGGGATTCGGGATGGGGGTATGGGATACGGGATTCAGGAATGGGGGATACGGGATTTGGGATGGGGGATAGGGGATACGGGATACGGGAATGGGGGATACGGGAATGGGGGATACGGGATTTGGGATGGGGGATGTGGGATACGGGATATGGGAATGTGGGATACGAGATTTGGGATGGGGGATGTGAGATATGGGATACGGGGATGTGGGATACGAGATTTGGGATAGGGGATATGGGATATGGGATAGGGGATATGGGATAGGGGATATGGGATAGGGGATATGGGATAGGGGATATGGGAATATGGGAATATGAGATATGGGATAGTGGATAGGGGATATGGGATAGGGGATATGGGATATGGGATAGGGGATAGGGGATATGGGATAGGGGATATGGGATATGGGATAGGGGATATGGGATGTGGAATATGGGATTCAGGATGCAGGATACGGGATATGAGATACGGGACAGGGAATGTGAGATTGGGGACATGGGATATGCAACATGGGATGTGGAATACAGGGTATGGGATATGGGATAGAGAATATGGGATATAGGATGAGGTGGGGTGGAGTTAGGTGGGATGGGATGGGATGGGATGGGATGGGATGGGATGGGATGGGATGGGATGG